TTTTTTTTTTTTTTTTTTTTTTTTTTTTTTGGTGCTAGAGATTGAATTCAGGGCCTTTGCACTGAGCTACATCCCCAGCTGGCCTTGAACTTGTGATTCTCCTGCGTCAGCCTCCTGAGAAGCTGGAATTATGGGCTTGTGCCATCATATACAGCCATTTCTGCCCTTCATGCTCTCTACCACTGAGCTCATCTACCCACTTCCACACCCAATAGCCTGATGCCAAGGACCTCACTGCCAACCCACTGTTAATCTTCCCCACCTCAGCTAAGCCAGAGGCTGTTTTTCCTTCTGGGAAGCTTTCTTTGTGTTTAAGCTCACCAGTGGCCTCGTAGACATTTCCCCTGATTCTTTACCTATAGAATCTGGGTATTGTTCAGGCATGCAATGTGTCCTACTAAAAGAGCACATTTCTTACCTTCTTCGCACCTGGGTGTGACTGGTGAGGTGAAAACCCTGAGGAGAGATGGAAAAGGGTTTCCAGGAACTGCTCTTTCAAAGCTTGTGGGCCATCTCAGCTCAGAGGCAAGTCTTCTGCTCCTGCTTTTTCCTCCTTGCTGTTGGAGCACGGCTGTGATGGCTACAGCCTTGGCAACAATCTTGTGACCATGAAATTACCTTGGAGATGGAAGTAAGAATAAAGGAGTAGAAGAGAAAGCCCAGGTGTCTGAGGCTGAAGGGCAGCCTCCCTCCACACTTACTTTACAAAGGGAAGAACAGAACCCTTACCTTGATTAAGCCACTGGTTTGGGGTTCCTGTTGAGTAGAAGAGAATCCAATCCTAGCTTCTACAACTTTTGACCTTGTGTCTTGGCTTTCCTCTTATCTCTTGGGCTCATCTCTGTCTCCCTGAGTGTGTTCCTTTATTGTCCCACACCAAAAACACGGGGACCATTCCGGGCCCCCTTTTTCTGGCATCCCATATGTCCCAAGCACTCTTGTTCTTGGCGGTGGCTTTGCATCACATGCTGGTGACTTCTGACCTGCAGCACAGACTGTCCCAGGCCTGCAGACCCCGATGTTCAACCAGGACGCCCTTCAGAACCCTCAAGGTCGAGAGCACCCGGACTCTTCCCCATTGCCTACATCTTGTCTGCAGCTCATCTCGTGGATCTTCATCCACTCAGTTGGCCATGCCACCAATCTAGGGTCATTGTCCTTTTTGGCTGTCATTCTCCTACCCCTCAGCTGCTCCCATACAACCATCCCCAAGATCCAGCAGTTCGTCACCTCACATGCATCAGGGTGGTGACCATAAAGAATCCAGATAATAACAGGTGCTGGTGAGGCAGGCTGTGGGAGAATTGGGCCCTTGCACACTTCTAAGGGATGGGAAATGGTGCTGCCGTTGTGGAAGGACCTGGAGAGGTTAAGCAGTTAAACCCAGAATTACCCTACAATCCAGCGATTCTACTCCTAACTGCGAGCAGGAAAAGTGACTTCAGGGCCTCAGGCCCCTCCACCTTCACAGCAGCATGACTCCCACCCAGCAGCCGAGAGGTGGACGGAGCCCTCCACGGATGGGTAAATGGAGGAGGCCCAGTACTGTGCACCTGCAAGTGGGTGTCATTCCGCCTGGAGAGGGAAGGAAGGGCGTCCTGTCCCGGCCACAGCACGGACAGTCCTTGAGGGCATCATCCTCGTGAAATAAGCCAGCCACAAAGGCACACATACTGTGTGATTTCACTTCCCTAGGGTATGCAGTGTCCCTAGAGTCACAGGCACAGTGTAGGATGGTGGTTGCCAGGCCCCTGGGAGGGGCGGAGAGTAAGCGTTTCACACATACGGAGTTTCAGTTGTGGATATTGGGGAAGAGCTGGAGAGAAGGTGATGATGGGTTCTATCACAACAGGAGCACATTTACTGCCACCAAACCATACACTTAAAAAATGGCTAAATGGTGAATTTTATTTTACCATGATCTAGCAACATTACTTCCTAAATGGTCTCAGGTCTGTTCATAGCTGTCACCTCTCAGCGGACACTGCAGGACTCTGCCAGTAGGCTGTACCCCCAGCCTCACTTCTTAGCTATTGTCTTCATAAATCTCAAATCCGACATGTCAGTTGTTCCATGGAACCTGCATGGGTCTCCGTGACCAATGGAACCGATTCTAAGCCTCTCAGCTCGGCCTTCAAGCCCTGGTCTGCCCCCATCCTTCTTCCCAGCCACCTCTGTCTGTTTTGGTCTCGTAGTTTCTCCAGCACCTGGCCAATGCATGCCGCCATACCTTTGCTGTCCTGTTCCTCCTCTACCTGCTGCTCGGTCTTCCCTGCACATCCTTCAGGGACCTCTGCTAGAGACGCCTCTTCTGGCCTCCGTGCCAGCCCCTGCACCATTTGTGTCAGTCACTGCTGTTAGGGTGTGGATCCGGGATGTTCCGGAGGCTCGGTGTTGAAGGCCTTGTTTCTAGCACAGCAGGTCTCAGAGTGAGGCTTTGGGGAAATGAGCGGATCACAAGGATCACAAGGGCTCTGACCCATCTGGGGTTTGTCCTGGATGGGTTTGTGGATTGATGGGTCCTCGAGAGGTGATGGAAACCGTCGGCCCTGGCTGAGGGGAGTGTGTGACGGGTGACCTTGGGGATAAGATCTTGTCTCCAGTCTCTATCTTCTTTTCTCCCCCACCCTCTCTCTCTTCCTGTCTGCCGTGAGGGGAGCATCACCACGGGCACAGAGACAACAGAGCAAGTGACCATGGACTAAAACCACGGAAACCATGGGACAAAATAAATCCTTCCTCCTCTAAGTTGATTTTTTTGGGGCATTTTGTCAGTGATGACAGGCTCTCTCCACCGTCTCCTGATACCTTTAATTTCTCTCCACCTCCTGTAGGAAGCCCTTCTTGAGTCCTTCAGCCACAGTGACATGGAAACTCTTAGCTCATCGCCTTCTTTCGCCTGCTGGAGGCCCCATTGCTGCATCCGGTTGTCTCCAGTCCTGTCTTCAATTCTCCCACGAACATCTGTCATACTTCTTTGCTGATGATGAGACTCTGTGGTTGAGGGGAACGGTGACTTCAGTGGACCATGGCAGCAGTGGATACTTTCTGAGCACTCTGTGCGTCTTTCCTCCTCCCAGCTCTGAAGGGAGCATCCTCACTCCCTTTGCTGGACAGAGGGGTGGCCGTGGCACAGAGGGCCAAGGGGCAGAGTCTCAAAATAAGGCAGGGTTTCAATGCAGACCTGTGCTCTGCTCTTGGGGCTGGGGCTGGGCCCCAGGAAGCCTTTCTGGGCTGGACTGGCCCCTGGAGCACCTGCCCAGTGCCCATCTCCTGTGCATGCAGCAGGCGTGGATTTTTCCAGCAAACTTGAGCACAGGCAATTGGAGAGGGCATGAGAGGAAACAGCTCATGTTGGTCCTGGCTGTGGGCTTGGAGCTCATCCAGGACTCTGAGGGCCTGGCGGGGAGTTGGGTGGCAGCTGAGGCAGTAGGCGAGCCTCCTGTTCATCCCAGGAAGCCCTCTGTGGTGACCTGTGATGGCTGCCCCCAGGGCACACCCTCCCCTGCAGTCACAGCTCCTCACATTTTCCAGAAGCCTCTGTGTGGGGGGGTGCGGTGAGGAAGGAGCAGGGTCACTATTATAGTCGCTAAGATGCCTGTCATCTCTCTGGTTCTCCTTTTCCTCATCTGCAAAATGGGGATTTAAACAGTTGCCTCTCTGATTTCTGGGGCAGATTCTTTGCAAGGATGGCTGTGACAGTCTTGAGGGTGACCAGGGTCCCAAGCCCCTGAGAGCATCTGTCCTTGTCTTCGGGTGCCTCGTGGCACAGGGGTGGGGAAAAGATGGCCAGTCCTGATTCTCAGAGACGGGAGCTCGGGGTTCGTTCTTTGCACAGCTGGGAGAGAGGAAGCTGGGACCTACTGATTAAAAAAAATTTAAAAAAAGATAAAAAACTCCCCACAGCATCCCTTTGATTGACTTTACCCAATAGACGAAGCCAGCAGGTAAGAAACGAAACAACTGGAATTTAGGGCTAAGATATGGAGAGTTTAACGAATGGGAGAAGGATTATTGCTGCTAGCACAGAGGACCAAAAAGGGAAAGTCAGTTGCCCAGAACCACAGAGCAAGGACTTAGCTACGGTGGCAAGGAAATGACTAGAAGAAAGGAAGGGAAGCAGGGAAAGCGGAGGGAGGGACGGCCCCTGTCCCTCTGCACTGTGTCTGCACTGTACCGGCTGTAGCTCAGGCCCTCACGGTTCATCCTCCCAGCCACCCATCCACGGGAGCTCAGCGAGGCGGCCCCCTTGTCCAGCCCTCATGCTTGGTCAGTGGGAGACCAGCATTTGAACCCTGGCTGATGCCAAAGCCTCACCATCCGGCCCCAACTGCCCACGTGATGGGGGTTCGTGCGAAGCGGCGTACTGACTGGGGCACCCGCTACTTGGAAGCTGCAGAAGCAGCCAGGGCAGATGGCCAGGCTGGTTGCTGGGTGCCAGGTGGCCGTCCTCAGCCCCTGTGCAGCCAGGTGTGCAACGACTGCATCTGAGGGAGGCGCGGGGTTCCAGGAGCCCACTTGTCTGGGATCAGGGGGTGCCTGCTCACCAGCCTGACCTGTTTCCTTGAAGGTAACTGCTGGCTGATACCCGAAGTGCTCTCTAACCCCACCTTCCTGGCTTTGCCCCTTGAGGGGTCTGGGTTGAGCTCTGCTGGGGGGAGTCGGCCAGCCCCTCCCTTTCCTCCAAGGTGTGAGCCACCCGGGGAATGTGGGGCCAGCTGCCATGGCAACCCTGTGTTGCGAAATGACGTAATTGGAGTTCCAAACGTGTGAAATCAAATACAACATCCGAAAACACAGCCCAGGGGTCGGCATGGCAACCGCAGGACACCGGGGACAGGCAGGCGCTCCCGTCTGCAGCAGCCAGCTTGGCTGGGCCACCTGGGTGCGCATGAAGGGCACTCGGCCCCAGTCCTCCCTCTCCTGGGGCCTCTGTGAGACCCTGGGCTTTGGCCCTGCCTGTTCCTCTCCTCTCCTCTCTTCCTCTTCCCTTTGTTTCTCAGGTAGGCAGTTTTCCCTGGTGGTTAAGGAGGCTGGCTCTATGGCCCAGTCGGCTTCAGCTGGGTTCAAGACCTGCTGCTTACCCGAAGGTTGTAGCAAACCCACACTGCAGCTTGGGCAGGCAAGGCAGGGTGCTCAGGCCTGGCTGGTGGTGTGTCTTAGAAGTGAGCTGCTGTCCTGCACTTTCTCAGCTTTCTTCCTTTCGGGGGGTCTTTCCCTGCCCTTCACCTGCAGGCACCAGGAGTGATGGGCGCCTGGAGCCCAGCAATCCCAGTGACTGTGAGACCCAATATGGCTCGGTCATGCGATCTCCAAGAAGGTCCTCCCATCCCTAAGAGGATGGTGGGGCCCGGGCTATCAGCATCATTGTCACCTGGAAACCAGGTTACAGGGCAGGTTCCAAGATTTTTCCCATTTAGTGTTTTGATTCAGCAGGATGAGGCCAGGGAATCTGAGTTTCAGCAAGCTTTCCAGGTGAGACTGGGGGACACCCTACTGTGAGATTCCCTGGGCCAGCTGGAAGCTGTGGCTCATAGGCCTGGCTCTGACTGGCCCCTAGCCTACGTGCCTGTCTCTGATTGGCTTCCAAGACCCAAATGCCTGGCTCTGATTGGCTCCCAGAACCATTGCCTGGCTCTGACTGGCCATCTTCTGGACCCTTGATTTTGCAGCTCTAGAACTGCCAGGCCAGGGCAGCCTCCTCTGTTCAGCACCCCTGTATCTCTTGACCATCCAACTGTCAGATGGGTCTTGTGCTGGGCCCTGGGCTTTCCCACAACACAAAGAACTGGGCTGCCCTATGTGTTTGGGGACAGGGGGCTGACCAGGTGCTGTCTCTCTTTGACTCAGTTACTCCATATGTAAAAATGGGAATAAGGGTGTAATGAGAGTGTCCTGCCACTCCTGAGCTGGTGTGGGGTTCTGGGGAGAGGATGACAAGGACACATCCCGGTGGAGTGTGGCATGCCAGGTGCCAGGACCTCCGAGGAGTTAACTCCTTTGGTGCCCCAGCCCAGGCCTGTCCCAGAGCAAAGCGCCAGAAGCGTGCCCGAGGGAAGATAAAGTCACAGACATCTAGTCCAGATCTCTTGTTTCACCCCGGGGACACGGGGCCCGGAGTCTCTCGTGATGCCCCCGAGTACTTTCAGAGTGGGAGCTGTTTCCTTCCATTTTACAGCGGAGGAGACAGGCTCAGCGAGGTGACTTGAGGCACCTGAGGTCACTCAGAAGATAACCAAGGTGGGATTAAACCCCTCCTTGGTCTCTGGCAGCTACTGTTTTCCCCACTGCCTCTGCCTCGCTCCCCTCCTTCCTCCCTACCCCTTCTCTCTCTTCTCCTCTGTGCCTCACCTCCTCCGCGTCTGCACCTGCCAGCCACTCCTTCCTCCCACGGCCTGTCTTGCCCATCCTCCCATCCCATCAAGGACCTCTGTGGACAGAGCCCGACACGTTTGACCTTGATGAGGGAGGTAGCTCCCTTCTCCTTGCAGTCTGTCCTCTTGGACCTTACTTTCCTCCATTTCTCCTGGGTTTCCATCGTCTCTACATGTAAAGAAGTTTTAAAAGCCCAGGCACCTGTTGAGGCCCATTTTGCCACTTGTCCGTGCTGTGCCTGGTGGGGTTACACAGCGGTCCTCATCTCCCTGGGTGTGAGCCCCGGTGGACGGTCTCCAGCCCGCACCTTCTCTCCCTTCTCTTGGCCGGTGAGTGCTTGTGTCCCCAGCCTCCCTTCCCTGCTGCTCACTCTGCGCACTTGCTCTTAATGGTCTTATCTGCTGTAGCTGGAGGACACCCAGCCTCCAGTGTCACATGTTCCGTAAAGGACTCCAGCCAGGGATGTGCACTGGCCACCTGATCTTACTGTACCTGTGCTCTGTACTCAGGTATCCCCAGTCCCTCCACTGCAAGTAGCCACGAGCTTCTCCAGGTCACACTAGGCTTCTGGGACTGCTCAGTGCCACAGAGAGGAAACCTTTTACCTGCCCAGATCCTGCTCACCCAGTGAGACTCTGCCCAGGCACCACTTCCTCCAGCAAGTCCTCCAGATTGATCCTGAGGTCTGCTCTGCTGTCCCTACGAGGGCTTCCCTCTGCATTGTGGGTAGAGCCCAGGGCCTGGCACAGAGCGAGCACCTCCAACTGTGCCTTGGAGGAAGTCCAAGGGCTTGTGAGAGTGCACAAATGTCTTGTCTTACACACAGGGACATGGAGGCCCTATGTCTTAGAAGGAATCAGCAGCAGAGGCAGGACTCAGTCCCAAGAGCCAGGAACCCATTTCAGAGTGTGCCCTCAGTGCCCATGGCCAGGATGGGGGAGTGCAGGTGCCAGGGAAAGAGGCCACCAGTGGGCCAGTGTTGGGCAGGCCGCATGACTGAGGCTTTTTAATCTTCTCGGCTGTTCCTTCTGGGTGGGTGCAGTGGGTTCTTTGCACCTGTTCAGTAAGATGTTCCTCACATGGAAGGTTTCACAAAGTGCCCACTGTGTGCCAAGCCTGGCCTAGGGCCTGGGGGATGGAGGATTTCCTCACGAGAGATCATGGCAGGGAACCTGGCTCTTCCCCAGTGTTGCGTGCACAGCAGGTGCTCAGGGAGGCCTGTTCGCAGAGCTGAACTGGGTGAGAGAGCAGTTGGAACCCCCAAATCGCTCCTCTCCAGAGCCCAGCTCCCCACATCACTGGGGCCAGTTGTGCTGGCTGCCCCAGCTTCTCCAGGGGCCCAGGGACCAGGGGTCTCCTGACACCCAGGAGGTCCTCATCAATGGTTATTAAGGGCCTGAACTGCCTGAGACACCTTGGAGAGGGCCGTGTCATTTGGGTTCAGTCTCTCGGTGGCAAAATGAGGATCCCTTTTC